CTGATAGTACTTGAAGATACAAGTGCTTTGCTTGACTACCAAGCTTCTTGGCAACACGCTGAATGAGAGGGAGCCAGACCCCACGAGCAACCAAGTCCTGGTTCCCAGGGTGCGGGTGGGTCTCAAGACCCTTGGTAAAAAACTTGTCAAGGAACACTTGGGCCAGATCGGCCACGAACTTTTCCCCAATCTGAGACGGGGGGGATTCTGTCAAAGTCCAACGTCGGCCAGACCGATCCAGAAAAACCGCGGGACCCTCCCAGGTCCATCCTCCAGCTTCGAGCCAGAGGAGCATGGCCGATATCGGCCCACGGGTCCGAAAAAAAGCCAGGGTTTTCCCCGAGTCCCTTGGAAGGCTCCGACACTCGAGTGAAAAACTCTGCTTAAAACACCTGGAGTCAGCGCATCCTGATGCCTCGGGCCTCCGTGCCTACTCACTTCAGAACTGTGCCACCATTCCCAGCAGTATCTGCGTACGCAGCCACCTGCCAGCACGATGGGGTCGCCTTTGCCCTCAATGGCCCACAGGAGGTCCAAGTTGCACCCTTTCTTACTGATCCCACAGACTCGCCCAGCAGCCCTTCTAATAGATAAGAGTTCCATCGGAGACACACCCTGGATGTCGAGCCCATAGGACACCGTTGGGAGGATCCCACCTTTGAAGAGCCTTTTCTTGAGCTTCGTGGAGACCTTGAGGCCCGAGAGCTTGGTGATCCGAAACTTGAATTTCTTGGTCCTCTTCTTCATGACAAGGCGAGCGAACGGCCGCAGCTGGTGCTTGCCACCTGCAAAATCCACTCCGAGGTTGGCTGGTGCAACAATGCCCTGTCCTGCAAGTGTCCCTAGCTTCCCTTTGATCGAGGTCAAGATGGTCACGCTGTTACCAGTGGCAAACATCTTCTTCTCAGCAAGGGGCACTCGCAAACTCTGTGAAATGGTCCAGGCCAAGCTGACCGCAAGTTCCCGTAATTGCTGAACGCAATCATCTACATTATGATGCCACGCATGCACAGAGAGGTCATCGACATGTAAACTCATACTCGTACAATCAAGCCCCCTGTGCCCAACAATGGTGGGGAGGAGGAACGACTTGGCCTCGTAGGTGGCTGACGTGGACCCCGCTACGATCCCTCTCCGAGGAAAAAGGGGTTCGCCGTACCCCCCATCGAGGAGGAGAATCCTCTTCCACCGATAAGTCGAAATAGTATATACAAGAATATACAGAGGGAACTCAGATAAAATACTTTGCTGGAGGAGCTCTTCATGACATATGTGCTCGTAGAACTGCAGCAAGTCCCACATGAGGGCCCCGTAGTGAATCTTCTGTCCCGAATGTAATTCTGCCGATACAGACTGCCGCCACACCGTGTCGAGGGCACTGCGGCCCTGTCCCATGGAAAATTCAGGGCCCAATCCGACTTTGGATTCCCAGGATCTACATGGGTTTCTGTGCGTCTTCCCGTGGAGCCTCGCGAACCCACAGTAGTGCCCAATAGGTCGGCGCCCTTTCACTGGTTTACTCATAAGAAATACAATGAGCTGCTGAATCCTGGATGGCCCCTGACCCAAGACATCGACCAAGTGAAATAGCCACGACAGGGCAAGGAGCGCCCCATCAGATAACAGTGAGTAGTGTCTTGGATGAAACCCATCAGGGGTACATGTCTGCCTCTTGAAACGGGAACTGATATGCCGCAAAGCTTCGGGAGCTACACGCTCCCCCACAGGGATCCTTCCCTCAGGAAGGTCGAAAGGAGGCAGCTCAACTCGAACGTCACTTGCATTCCACGCCGCCTTCCACACTTTGGTTTCAGCAGCCAGTCGAGCAGGTAGGGAACTGGAGTACACCCCATTATCCGAGACAACTTCTTCGGATACAGGTTCTCCACTGCGTAAAAAAGCGAACGCCTGCTTCATATGCCCACCTACTGCTTCAGCACACCATTCTTTCCACGAATCCCTGGCCCTGGATCTGTCTTCGACGAGACCGACACGAACCCACAGGCCGACGAATTCCAGGAGCGAGTCGATCCGGTCGATGATGGTATTCAAGAGTGGTGTGCCAACTAGCTCTTGAGCAAATACCGCCAGTACAGGGTGCCAGAACTCGCCCCCAGCTTTCCAGTGCCTCCTGAAGGGACCCCCTCGAACTGGAAGACGTTGCCATTGTCGCAGGAGCCCCAAGAGGTAACCTTCCCTGCCGCCTCGAAGAAATAGAGATCTCAATTCTTGGAGCCTATGGAGGACCCATTCCAACGCACGCCCTGGAAAGGCGTTCTCGTACTGTTTGGTAACCAGAAGCGATCTGAGAGGTTTATCCTTGAACTGCAAGTCGGATCCCCCAGGGAGCCCAGGCGAGTCCCTAGCTTGACACACGTCCAAGATTTCACCCCAGGCCTGGGAGACCCAGATATCATACACTCGATCCAGTAGAAGAGCTCCCTGGGATTTATCAGCCCCTGTGGCCATGTAGGAATTCCCATCAGCATCTTGCAAAGGT